TGATCACTGAGGAAGGCTTTCTTATCTCTCCTTGCTATTCTTTGGAACTCTGCATTCAAATGGGTATATCTTTCCTTTTCTCCTTTGCCTTTTGCTTCTCTTCTTTTCACAGCTATTTGTAAGGCCTCCTCAGACAGCCATTTTGCTTTTTTGCATTTTTTTCTTGGGGATGGTCTGATTCCTGTCTCCTGTACAATGTCACAAACCTCCATCCATAGTTCATCAGGCACTTTATCAGATCTAGTCCCTTAAATCTATTTCTCAATCTATTTCTCACTTCCACTGTATAATCATAAGGGATTTGATTTATGTTATACCCAAATGGTCTAATGGTTTTCCCTACTTTCTTCAATTTCAATCTGAATTTGGCAATAAGGAGTTCATGATCTGAGTGAGCCACAGTCAGCTCCCTGTCTTGTTTTTGCTGACTGTATAGAGCGTCTCCATCTTTGGCTGCAAAGAATATAATCAGTCTGATTTTGGTGTTGACCATCTGGTGATGTCCATGTGTAGTCTTCTCTTGTGTTGTTGGAAGAGGGTGTTTGCTATGACCAGTGTGTTCTCTTGGCAAAACTCTATTAGCCTTTGCCCTGCTTCATTCCATACTCCAAGGCCAAATTTGCCTGTTACTTCATGTGTTTCTTGACTTCCTACTTTTGCACCCCAGTCCCCTATAATGAAAAGGACGTCTTTTTTGGGTGTTAGTTCTAGAGTTGGTTGCCATTTAATTCTCCAGGGGATCTTTCCAACCCAGGGATCAAATCCATGTCTCTCATGCCTCCTGCATTGGTGGGTGGGTTCTTTACCACTAGTGCCACCTGGGAAGATCACACTCAGCCTCCACAAATTCAGTGTCACTGTATGTGTGATCCTACCAGTTTATGACTAGCAGTTCCTGCTTAGAGGTAAACAGATTTTGACCGTGTCTGTCTAGATAAGCATGTCTTTCTAGATCTGAGGGTGGAGGTTTCCTCTGCAGCCTCAATTCTCTGATGGGTGGGCCTAAGATAAAATAATGTGGGTCACTGATTTTTTCACTTTGTCGAGCTTTTCCTTGGTGTGAACCCAAGGATGCCAACTTTCAAGCTTTTTACACTTTGGGGCTGAAACTCAGTGCCATTAATTTTAAATGACCATTCCCCTCCCTCCACTTGAACTCATGTGTCCCTTCCATCCTCACATTTGCAGGTCTTCTCTCTGTGGCCATGTGAGTTTTCCCATGACAGGGTCCTAACAAGACTGAGTTTCTTGAGAAAAGGGCCTTTGTTAACCTCTTGTGTATGTTTACACTTTGCTCATGTAAAATGCTTAGTGTTGCTATTTGATTTTGCTGAGTCACTTCCATTTATGGCACTCATTCTAAAAGGCATCTGTGGTGAGGTGTTACCTAGCACCCTGGAAACTTCCTTTTGGGCTTTTAAACAAATTTTCCTGGCCTCCAAAATCAAGGTCTTATTTTCTTAGCAAGGTCAGAATAAGGTAACCTTCATTTACTATAAAACAATATTTACAAAAGTAATTTCTCAAGATAAGTCCTGACTTTTCTTAAGTTCCTGATTTCTTTTCATAATGATCTAGTCACATTAAGATCAAATTGAACCAAATTCCAGGAAACCAAAGGGCCTTCGACCTAAGTGCCCAAACATGGCTATTTCAGAATTACCTGTGAAGCTTTAAAAAAGAAGACCTGGACAGTCTTAGGCAGTAATTGTGGTACACAGCTAAGTTTAGGAACATAAGATACTTCTGATCAGTTACCTCTGCATGCCCCAAAGCACTTTTTATACCTACACTTAAAATCACACTAAAAAACAAAACCAATTCACATTCACTCATGCTCATCCTAGAGGACCCTGGAAATGTTACTGGAAATTCACCCTTTCATTCAATCAATACATTTATTGAGCATTAAGTAAGGGCTGGGTAGGTACCAAGTCACAGGCCTGGTCCTAAGAAAGAAGTGCACCAAGGCATGGCTTTTAGAGGCAGACATCTTTCCAGTGTTTAAATCTAGAGCCATAACATCCTGGGTAACCTTGGGCTTATTACTTAAGCTTGCAGAGCCTCAGTCTTCTCATCTGTAAAGGAGAATATTCTTTACTTTATAAGGAGTTGTATGACTGATCACAAAGGAACTATCAAGGAAGACATACTCTATCCTCCTAAAATAGTTTCTAACTTGTTTCCCAGTCCAAACACTTGTATATTCTAATAATCACAGCTAGCACTCAGAGCAGTTAACCTATAAACCAGGCAGTGTGCTAAGCTCTCTGTCCATCCACACCTTAAACAAATTTTATCTGTAAAGACTTGCAGGCGAGGAGCCTTCTCTTTTCATTGGCTATATTCACCCAAGACAGGCAAAGCAAGCTGAAGCACAGGAATGGCCCTTAATGAGAGGGTTGAGTTAAAAAGAAGCAGGATGTAATAAAAAGAAGATGCTCTCTGGCATCCAGCCCAGAGGTCATCATCACCACTGAGGGTCATGACAGCAGAACCACCCAGCAGGAAGCCAAATACCAGATAAACCTATTCAGGTACTGCCAGGGGCTTAGTGGTACCATTTGCTGTGGCTAATGCTTCATCTGTGATTCCCACTGCCATCAGAAAACTTTTATTAAGCCTTTATATGTCTCAGGTCTCATGAACTGCTATTCTGTGGATTTTACATTTGGTCTTCAACAATTGTTAAGTTACCAATAGTACCACTGCTGTTGAAACTTTACATCTGGCAGAAATTGGGACAAGGTGATAACTTACTGAGAGGACATGGAGCTGGAGACGCTTGCTGCATAACTCACTGCCAATTCAACTTCTTTTAGGAAGAATCTTTAAGGGTTTCTAGAAACTCCTGTGTCACTTGAGTTGACGGCACCTGCATTTTTAGTCCATAGGGTTAAAGGTGTTGCAGTTGTTTGCAGAGCTTTTTCTTTTTTTAATTTACCTTTGGTTGTGCTGGGTCTTAATTGCTGTTGAGTGGGCTTTCTCTAGTTGTGGTGAGTGGGGGCTACTCTTGGTTTCAGTGTGTGGGCTTGTTGTGGTGGCTTCTCTTGTTGTGGAGCAGTCTCTAGGCACACAAGCTTCAATACTTTTGGTTCACAGGCTTAGTTGCTCTGTGACATGTGGGATCTTCTGGGAACAGGGATTGAACCCATGTCTTCTGCACTGGCAGGTGGATTCCTACCAGTGTACCACCATAGAAGTTAAAAGGTACTGTTTTAATCAGACCGTGGTTTCAGTTCTCTAAGAAACAACACTGAGATGTATCCTCCTACATGAGGTAAAAACATGTTACCTAGAATAAACCACCTTTCATCTAACTTTAAACCTTCAACTTTCTAAAAGCATGCCTGCCCTAAGGAAATTGTAGAGATTAAAAGGAAGCAAGGCCAGTACAACCAATCCTAGATCACACTATTCCCTTGTCTATAAATGATCAAAATCAAAAGAATTTCACACCGAGTAGAAATGTTAGCACTGTTGACATATTTCTGTTGTGGGAAGCAGTGCTATGTATGTTGTATGGAGTTCAGTAGCATCTTTAACCTTCTGCCACTTAGATTCCAGTAGCATTTCCCACTTGTGACAGCTAAAAAATGTCTTGCTGTATTGCCAAATGTTCCCCAGGAGGGAAAATCACCCATGCTTTGGAGGAATTACTGAGTTTAGCAATGCTACTGTTAATTCTGTTCTGCATGCCAGAAACTTTCCATTTTACTGCATACCAAAACCTTTTGATGTTCCTGACCACCTTTTTCTGCTCTCAGTGAAACACAATTCACATGCTATTTACTCTGTACCTTTATTTACTGTAATTGAAATGTCCAGTATTATGCAACTGTGACATATATAAGCAACAAGACATACTAGGGCAGTTCTGACTTCTTCCTATGACATCCATCTGCTTGGGGGGACATCCTGGGTATTAGGCCAAGGCCTAAGCTGGTTTTCTCTCAAATGGACTGATCTGTCTCTACAGGAGACACATCTGGAGTGTGAGGGAAAATCTTCCTTACCTTGGAGTTTAACTCTAGGTCACAACAGGGCTCCAAACTGCCAGATGTAGTACAGATTCAAATTAGAGACCACATTCTGGCCGCAACACAAGTTAAGCAGCAAGGAGTCCTTCCTGCATTTTCTGGCTGTACAAGTCAGGCTAGAACACTATTCGAGGCCTTCTCCCTTGGTTAGAGGGGAAAACATGCAACTTCCTAAACCAAATTAGAAAGCATGAATCTGCTAAGCAAAGGTTATTACACTCTTGCTAAGTTTGTTTAAACAAGTCACTCAGATGAGCTAGGAAGAAAATTCTTCTGAAAAATAGGAGGAATGCTATTGACTTATCTTAAAAGGATTTTTGAATAGAATGACTTGAGATTATAGAGCATTTTCCAAATACACAAAGTGATTCATAATGACTCAATAAGCTTTAAGGAATGCTTTTTCTAGTACATCACATTTTTGTTGTTGTTGTATAAAAGAAAATACCTCCATTCAAAGGGTAGTAGCATATTTGATATCACCACTGTTTAAAGAGGAATGGAGTTACAGGAATGAGAAGTATATAATTAGTAAATAATCCCTCTCAGCAAGTGAGTTAAGCAGGAAAGCCTTCTGAAGAGGAAAGAAAACCCAGAGGCAACACAATCAGTGCATATAAGAAATGCATTTTTATTTTTATTTGAAAACAACTTAAATTTTTAGACAAATGATTTTAGTATATAAATTTGATTTTGTTTTTATATAGAATATAAAGATTTCCCTCGTTGATCTTCCATGTGAAGGGTATTACAAGCCTGAAGGGAGATACTTTCTGCATACAAGTGTGTATCTTACGTGTAGGATATTGGAAACCAATGTGTAGTGCCTCCACACATAAATTAGGTCAAGTGACACCACATATTAAAAGGGGGTAAGAGAAATATTCTATTAATTGGATTCAAGAAGCAAACATGACACAAAAAATTGCAGGTAAGACCAAGTGAGTAAGTTTAGTTAGGACACTGCAGGTTATACTGGAGTAACAGGTTTGTGAAGCTAGAGTGTATACCACATTAAAACAGCAAGAAAGAGCTATTTATATAGAAAGGTTGGAATGAGGGATTTTTCACTAAAGCAAATTAACTTCTTGTCAACTGCCAAAACAAAACAAAACAAAATTGAGCATATGAGTGTTAGTATACTGAAGGCATATTATACCAGTTTTTTATGCAGCATGCTAAAGTTAGTTAGAACTTCTTCACTGGTGCATATGAATCATTAAGTCATGGAAAGTTTCTTTTTTTCCCCCTCCCCGCCCCTTCTTGTGAAATTTCAGGCATGTCTTATTTTAGATGGAGTATAGCTTTTATCTATAATTTCATCCTGTAAAAACATGTGGAGACAACGTTCATTCTGTGCCAGAGGGTGACCAGCGACCCTAGAAATAAAAAATACAAGTTCAGTCCAATTTTTACAAAAGCACGAGGGGGACCAAACATACACATTTTAAGATTAGGAAACATGAACAATTCAATAACAATGTTACTCTGGATAGAGCTACACTCTATCTAGTAAACTGTATATTTGCTTTCCTTCTGTCTGTAAGGGTAATTTAGATAACATTTAAGCACTAGCTTTACACTGTCTCTAGTTAGCTTCTTTACATATTAGTTGGTGAATCTGTAAGAAACCTAAATGACTTTTAATGTTAAAAGTGAAATAACGTCACTGATTCAAAGAATACATTTTAAAGAAGAAAAAGATATAGGATCACAAGTTCAATAAAATCTCCGAATACTAAGAAACAGGCACAAATGTCCAAGGTTTTGGGTATTTTTTTTTCTTTTTTGCTTGCTTTTCAAAGTTTCTATCAGACCAAATAGATCAGACTGGGCAACCAGGCTTTATTTCAGAATTTAAAAACATCCAAGCTAGCACTGCCTTTTCCAAAAAGAAAGTTGACAATGAAGGTTGTGTGCTGTATCAGATAACTAAAAGTTAAGGGCTTTGTGTAACTTTCCCTCTGTTTACCACTCACAGATCTTCAAATTACTAGATAAAAAGTACTGCTAATAAATAAGCTCACACAACAGTATTCTCTAGGATTTGACTTTATGTGGCCAAACTTAAGGCCAAATGCACAATTACAGTGAGCCCTTTGCAGGTATAACTCTTTCTATAATTTTGGCTTTTAAAAAACGGCTGTAGTTAGAGGACTCTCTGGTGGTCCACTGGTTAGGACTCTGTGCTTTCACTGCTGAGGACCCAGGTTCAATCCCTGACTGGGGTACTAAGATTGAGAAGCACAGTCAAAACAAAACAAAAAAAATACTATATCTTAAATAGGAATAAAATTAAAAGCTAGAGGCTGATTTTATTAAAAGTCTCTAAAGTAAAAGATAAATGATACATTCTTACATTTTCAAAAGTATATATTTTGCCATGAAAATTTTAAATGCAGCTTTTACACAAGATATGCTGATAATACCTTCCATGTGCAATCAAACAAAATGATTCCAAGTGTATTGTTCATGCTAGAACATACCTTAAATCAAAAAGAATCATAAGTAAAACTATTTTTTAAATGCTGTAATTTTAAGTGTAATTGGCATAAATTAACCAAGAAAAACATACAAAACTCAGGTCAACAAAAAGATATCACTCAAGTTTATGAATATTTAGCACATGATATTCAATTTGTTATGTATTTTTACTTTGTTTAAATGATACAAAAAAGTTAGAAAATGACCAAAAGGAAAAAGTAGTATTAGTCTGATATCTAAATTACTAGCAGTCACCTAAAGAATCTCAGAACACTATTCACTCTTAGACCTTGAGGAACAGAAAGCACTTACTTGTTTATAAACTGCTCCAGCCCTTGCTTCCTTTCTTCAATGAAATTGTCATCAAATATTCCATCATCTCCTCTAAAAGGAAGTTGACGCAAAAATGCTTTCCCAGGGAGTGGGGGGACTACAACCTAAAACATGGTAAAGAAAGTTCTTGAACAACATGCTGGCTGAGTTGGAAAAATTTATAGAGCATAATAAGAAGACAAAGTATATCTTCACTATGAGAGCCATCCCACTGTCAAACTAGTTTAGATATACAGTAAAAGGGACACAATAAAAATACACTGAAAAATGATTTAGTGTTTTGGAGGCAAGATAAATAAAATGTCCAGAATAGTCCATCAGACCAAAGCTCCTCAATGGCATAATTTTCATTTTTCCTGGACTTATCAAAGCACAAGTATACAAAGGGAATAAGCAATACTGAAATAAAGGCCACCATGCCCCTCAGACAGTCCTGATGTCACTTGGTGAGAACACTGCTTTATTATAATTGTTATTGTAGAGATCAATCTGAACTCCCAATTAAATGAGGAAGTAAAATATTAACAATGTTCTTTCTGGCGTGGGCAGATAAGAATTCTGTGGTCAACTCCTTCTACTTCATACCATTTGCATATACTCTTTCCTACTTGCATTTGAAGTGATGACAAAATAATCAATAATTACTACTTGTTGCCACTCTTCTATTACTAGGCTAAGAAACACATCAACTTTCTCCCAAACCCACTATCCTCCCTTTCCCCAAAGACCTGTCATTTCTTCCTTCTGTAATAAAGGAACATCCCAAATTTTCCCTGTCAAAGTCTAGCTTTCCTTTAGGAACCCTCTTCTGGGAATTATCTGGAGCTCAAACATTTGTTTAAATGCTGCTGTTGCTTCTTTAGTCACTAAGTTGTGCCTGACACTCTGTGACTCTATGGGTGGTAACCTGCCAGCCTCCTCTGTCTGTGAGATTTCCCAGGTAAGAATAATGGAGTGGGTTGCCATTTCCTTCTCTGGGGGATCTTCCCAACCCAAGGATTGAACCCGTGTGTCCTGCTTGGCAGGCAGATTCTTTACCACTGAGTCACCTGGGATGCCCTTGAACTAAATAGTACCTCGCTACTTATTTCACAGGTTCGTCAGGTTCTCTATCCCAGTATTTCTCAACCATGGCACTATTAACATTTTGAACTAGATTATGTACTGGGGGGAAGGATTTCTTGTACACTGTAGAATACCTATTCAACAGCATCCCAGACCTCTACCCACTAGATAGCCACCAGTAGGCACTCCACACAGACAGGTGTGACAATCACAATGGTCTCCAGACACTGTCAAATGTCTCCTGGGGGACAAAACTACCCCTCCTGGAGAACCACCAATCTATCCTATTAATGCCTTCAAATCATGGACCCTTGTCTCAGGCATATGGTTATTTTAAGGAAACCTGGGCATACAAGAGAAGTTCTGTTAAATGACTAACCACTTAGGTGAATCCTTATCTTACATTTAAACAGAGAAAAGGTGTAGGCAAACAATTCACCCAAGAAGAAATATAAACAGTAAACACCAGTAATAAAATTATACATATTCTAAGAGGTAAAATCTAAAACCCTTGATGAAGAGTTTCTATCCTAAAACAATAATTCAACAAGGTAAAAATGAGAAAGATCACACAACTTCTTACAGATGCATGAAAAACAAAGAGTAAAAAAGAAACACAAAACCAATGCCCTACATAAACTTTGTAATTCCTTCCTAGATCTACTCTTCCCAGATGCCAGTGATTAAGAAATCTAAAGATTTGTCATCGTAAGTTTGCTTTAGCAATCTTAAGTCTCTCCCTTATATTATAAAAGCATTTGTCAAGTTGAAGATTTGAAACCTGCAGGTAACTAGAACTGAAAAGCAGGGATTATGACCACTAGCTGAGCTCCAACAGAGTAGCTATATGATGGGCAGGGAAAAACATCTGTTACCTATAAAGCTATTATTAAAAAAAGGAATCTAGAACTACTGCATTAAAGAAATGACCACTGTTAATTCAGGGAAGAATTTAGCATGGAATTTAAAGATTACTATGTATTATCATCAATAGAGATATACTTTTACTCATATTCAAAATACTCACTGAATTGGATGGTGACATTGTAGGCAACAGGATTAATCACCTACAAAAATCATGAGTGGTTTCAGCTAACAAAGATCTTCAACATCAAATTATTTTTGCTAAAGCAGTCTGAAAAGATCTACTTAGAATTCTCACACAAATTTAAAAAATCATGAGTCTGATGATATGTGTGTATATGTGGGCAAGATAAGGATAGGAGGATATCTGGCCAGCGTAATATAGTGAAAGCATACTGAAATAAAAGCTAAAAAATTAAACCATAATGACTAATAAACATAATAAATTTCACCAACTTTCTCATCTAGTATAACAGATCTTAAGCAGAAGTAGTAATATATAAATAAAACAACTTGATTAACCGTTCTTAGCAATTTTGTTGTTGTTCAGTTGCTCAGTCGTGTCCAACTCTTTGCAACACCATGGACTGCAGCACACCAGGTTTCCCTGTCCATCACCAACTCCCAGAGCTCACTCAAACTCATGTCCATTAAGTCAGTGATGCCATCCAACCATCTCATCCTCTGACATCCCCTTCTTCTCCGCCTTCAATCTTTCCCAGCATCAGGATCTTTTCAAATGAGTCAGTTCTTCGTATCAGGTGGCCAAAGTATTGGAGTTTCAGCTTCAACATCAGTCCTTCCAATGAATATTCAGGACTGATTTCTTTTAGGGCTGATTGGCTGGATCTCCTTGCAGTCCAAGAGACTCTTAAGAGTCTTCTCCAACACCACGGTTCAAAAACATTAGGTTTTCAGTGCTCAGCTTTCTTTATAGTCCAAGTCTCACATCCATACATGACTACTGGAAAAACCATAGCTTTGACTAGACAGACCTGTGTTGGTAAACTAATGTCTCTGCTTTTTAATACGCTGTCTAGGCTGGTCATAGCTTTTCTTCCAAGGAGCAAGCGTCTTTTAATTTTATGGCTGCAGTCACCATCTGGTGATTTTGGAGCCTCCCAAAATAAAGTCCCTCACTGTTTCCACTGTTTCCCCACCTATTTGCCATGAAGTGATGGGACCAGATGTCATGATTTTCGTTTTTTGAATGTTGCATTTTAAGCCAGGTTTTTCAGTCTTCTCTCACTTTTATCAAGAGGCTCCTTAATTCTTCTTTGCTTTCTNTTCACTTTCATCAAGAGACTCTTCACTTTTTTCCATAAGGGTGGTGTCATCTGTGTATCTGAGGTTATTGATATTTCTTCTGGCAATCTTGATTCCAGCTTGTGCTTTATCCAGCCTGGCATTTTACATGATATACTCTGCCTATAAATTAAATAAGCAGGGTGACAATAGACAGCCTTGACGTATTCCTTTCCCAGTTTGGAACTGGTCTATTATTCCATGTCTGGTTCTAACTGTTGCTTGTTGACCTGCATACAGATTTCTCAGGAGGCAGGTAAGGTGGTCTGGTATTCCTATCTCTTGAAGAATTTTCCACAGTTTGCTGTGATCTACACAGTCAAAGGCTTTGGCATAATCAATAAAGCAGAAGTTGATGTTTTTCTGGAATTCTCTTGCTTTTTCTATGATCCAACGGATGTTGGGAATTGGCATTAGTTCATTATTTTTGATGGCCGAGTAATTTTCCATTGTATATATGGACCACAACTTCTTTATCCTCTGTCGATGGATATTGAGATTGCTTCCATGTCTTGGTTATAGAGAAATTCCAATTTTCAACTTACAAGTGTCCTTAGTGGACAAGTGGCAACAGAGACTAAAAATGGTGAAAGAAAAGAGAGAGAAGTATTGCCGGTGCCCAAATACTCCTTGGTGGGTGGACGAAAAGAGGAAGGTTTCCAGAGCTCAGGGTTCAGGTCCTATATACGGTAAATCCTATAGAATGGTCTGGTCAAGGGCCTGGGGCCCCATTAAGTGCACCTAATGCAAGGAAGTTGGGAATCTAATCCATACCTGAGACCCAATATCCCCAAATTATTCTTCTATTCCCTAGGTAGACTCCCCATCTCAGCCCCCTCAACAAGATAAGTATCAGAAACATACAGGTTTCCTGAGGCTGTAATTTTAGGCTGTCATCATTGTTAGCATCGAGAACTCTGCCTATCAGCTATTAGTAATCAAAATGACTCAGGTGGTGTTTCTAAGTGAAAAAAAGCATGCTTCACAAAAGTCAGCATATGCGACCATTTCTGTACAAAAATAACATATATTCATATATATATTTATTCATTAAACACTTGTCCAGTGGCTAATACACTTTCATGTGCCTAGAACATGTCTCTAGAGGGCATGTGACAAACTGGAGGCAGCTGTGGCCTCTGGCCAGGGAAACTGGGGGGCTAGGAGGGAGGAGGCAGGAGGGGGACTTTGTTTTCACTAAAGCTTCTTTTATGGTGGTTTAGTTGCTGTCGTGTCTGATTCTTTGCAACCCCATGGACTGTAGCCCGCCAGGCTCCTCTGTCCATGGGCTTCTCCAGGCAAGGAGTAGGTTGCCACTTCATTCTCCAAGGGATCTTCACAACCCAGGGATCAAATCTCGGTCTCCTGCATTTCAGGATTCTTTACCGACTAAGCCACCAGTACCTTCCAGATTTTGTACTATGTACATATATTGCCTATGTTTTAAATTGCTGGAAGTTACTCTGGGAAGACTTGTGACCAGTGTGGTTGCATATGCACTAGTACGGGCTCCCTGACCAGACAAAGAACCCCAGGCTTTTCATGCCATAGTTTTTTCTCACAGTCTTGCTCTGGTTCCTATTTAAAGTGCATCATAAAAAGTAGTAACATAAGAAGTTTTTAATTTGTCTTAGCCTGGGTTCTTCTGAAAACAGAACCTAAAACAAAGGCCTAAGGGTAAGCAGGTGAATTGGGAGTGACCCTAGGTTGCAGAATTCAGGAGAGGGCAGCTAAAGACGGGAAGGGAAGCCACTCCCAAGACGGGCTCCGAGTTGGCTTCCCCTTGAACCACTCTTTTCCTTGACCAGGTGGGGATGTATAAGAAGCCTCATGAAAGGCAGGCGAGAACTGGGCTGGGAGACAAGAGAAGGAAGTAGTTAATCATCAGCGCTCATCCTCAAGGGTCAGGGTTTGTCCCAGCAGGGTTTCCCATACCTGCAGATGGACACTTCTAAGTGTTTCCTAAGATTTTCCAAGATTTTCGACCTGAAGGTGTCAGAGAAACCCCAGACAGGAAGCAAGAGGTGCTCAGCACAGGCCTGAGTTTGAGATACAGCTGAGATGCACCCAAACGGGGCTGGCTAAGGCCCACTCAGCGCTGGTCACCGCAGCACTGGCAAGAATCAGAGGGAGCCAGAGCAGTGCCCGACACCTTCATAAGAACCGCCTGCTTTGACAAATTTTGCATTTTCATGTCTATGGCAAAAAAAAAAAAAAGCACTAATTTTATACTTCTGAATAAGAATTTAATATATAAAAATATTGTCAACTGCTCATATACATAAAGAATATTTCTGGAAGTGTCCTCAAGAATATTTACACTAGTATTTCCATGGAGGAGAATTTAGGTCAAGGAAGATTTGTATTACATATCTTGTTGTATCTTGAATTTTGAGTCACGAGAATGTATTATCTATATTATCCATTAAAAACAAAATTCATTTTAAAAGATGAGAAATATGAGACACATAAAATTAAAATATCCTATTTCAGAAATTTTGCAAAGTAGTCAAAGAAAGAAAAACACAGACTTTTTATTAAAAATGGAAATTTGAATATGTTTACCCCCACTCTATCTGAAACCCTATAAAATGAGAGTAAAGAGATATTTTTAAGCATAAACCAGGAAGCCAAGGCAGCAAAAGATAATAGAACATTAATAAAATTTTGGGGGCTAGAGAGTGGATGGATGAATAATAACTGACCTAGTGGACTAGAGAAAGCAGAAACCTAGGTCAGCAGAGGGAAAAACCAAAATGGACACAGATTTGCATCATAGCACTGCAGACAGACTCAGGAATTAGAGGGACTGATGCACCAACGAAAGTAGAGTTAAGAGGGGCTAAAATCAGGATAGTGGGTTTAAGTCAGTGTAGGAAGAAGGTTACCTTGGATTCCCCTCTCATTCCACACAGCTAGGGCTGCCCTCTCCCATCCCAGTAGAAGAATAGAGAGGATGAACTGGAGGGACTGTCTGCTCCGAGGGACACAGGGCAGAGTTGGGGACAGAAACATCTATTAAAAGTGGGGGACTAAGTCCGTATACTTCCTCCATTCAGCTCCCACTTTAAAAAAAAAAAAAAAGAAATCTAGGGAGGAAAGGAGCATAAAAACAAAAATGAAGCTGTACAAAGATGACTTTTACATAAAAGCTTCACTCGGGATGATAATCTCCAGGTCCATCCAGGCTGCTGCAGATGGCATTCTTTCATTCTTTATGGCTGAGTAGTATTCCAGTGTCTACATGCACCACACCTTCTTTATCCACTCCTCCATCAGCAGACATTTAGGCTGCCTTCACATCTTGACTACCATATGTAAATAGTCCTGCAATGAACACAGGGGTGCATGTATCTTTCCAAATTATGGTTTTCTCCAGATAAATGCCCAGTTGTGTGTGTTCTGATACTTTAAGATAGACTTTTATATACAAGTAAATACATACTCACAACCTGAAGTCAAAAGTAATATGCTACTTATTTATCAATAAATCCTTCTGTCACATAATTAATTTGAAGTAAATGTATCCACATGTACCACATATAAGGTGGCACTAGTGGTAAAGAACCTGCCTGCAAATGCAAGAGACATAAGAGACTGGGGTTCATTTCCTGGGTGGGGAAGATTCCCTGGAGGAGGACATGGTCCCCCACTCCAGTATTGTTGCCTGGAGAATCCCACAGACAGAGGAGCCTGGCAGGCTACAGTCCACAGGGTTGCAAAGATTTGGACACGACTGAAGCAACTTAGCACATACCACATACAAAGAAGATGTCAAAATTTTTGTTTGCATAACAGAGTCATTAGGATTGAATTATAAATGAACTTTGTAATCTCAGCTTAAGTAATATATCTTCTAAATTAATACATTTTTACTTAAAACTATTTCTGTAGATATCTGCGTAATAAAAACAAAAAATTGAAGTTCTTAAACGGGTTTGTCAAATGATAAGTGACTGTGAAAGGAATTCATAAGTCAAAGTATTCAAGAGACAGAGGTTTATAGGATTAATTAATCTCGGGCATTCCAGAGACCTTGCCACTATGTGCTGGATGCATTCTGAAAGTCCCTTAACACCACCAAAGTCTTTCTGTTTACCATTACAGTCATGTGCAGTCAGTCAGAATTGCATTCCAGTTAAACTCTCTAAACTTCAGGTTTTACATTTATAAAATGAGAGCTCCTTCCCAAGATTGTTAGTCCCATTAAAGTGAATGAAGTGGCTAACAGTGATTAGGCATATGATCAGCATTCAATAAACTACAGACGCTTGTGTGTGTAACACAATAGATATATATCCCCAGAAGAAACACACTAACTCAAATTCTCATCATGGTCTAATTAACTGATATCCCAACTTCCCTGAGAAGAAAGAAAACACAAAGCTAAAAGAGGAAGATACTACTTAATCAGCTCAAAAGTGAAGACAAAACAGGGCAAAGACATATTCTTGCCTAAAGAATATTTAGGATAACCAAAGTATCTGCCAATAACATAAGTGCACTGGCCCCTGTCTGAACTAACACACACCTGAAGACCTCATACCCTGAAAGCAGCCAGATAGAGTAAGACAAAACAAAGACTGAATCAGCACCAACAGCCAGAAGGTTGCCACCACATAACCAATCACAATCACTAACCACCAAACACAATCACTAACTAAAATACAACTAACCACAATCACAGAACCACAACGTGGCAGCAGCTGAGAGGGACACAGGAGCCCACCTAAGGAGCTCCAACACTCTGCAAAAGGCAAAATAAAGAGCCCCGGTGATCTGCCCAAGGTCACACCTGATTAAAGGCAGAGGCCAAATCTGAATCAGAAATTCCGGTTCCTTGCCCTTTCTTGTTTAAAAAAGAAAAAAGTTTACATGTAGGCATGGAGGAAGCAGGCAGTGGTGTTGGACAGCTTCCAGAGCATACAAGGAAAAGGTTGCTAACCCTGCAAACAGCATGTGCGTGGCTGGCAGTAAGGGCCAAGGTTGACAAGGCAGAAAGTCTTTCCCCTAAGAACGAAAGCATTCTATGTTTCTCCTACGGGAGGAAGAGTAAGGCAGCCCTGCTTTCTAAAATAACCACTGCTTTCAGATATGTTTTCCACATACCCTTCAGAATGGAAATCAGCCCAGATCCCTTCCTTGGAAGAGTTAAGCATAGAAGCATCACTCGAATGGAGCAAGCAGCTTGCAGAATGGCTGCAATGAGTTGGTTCCCTCGTAAATAGATTGAACATTATCACTCTGCTTCATACCCTCAAAGGAACTCGGTCCCGTGAATGGAATGGTATATTATAACTGGCATAAAATAGGCCACCACTTTAGTTACAACACAGGATTGTCCAAATAAACAAGCATTAATCACGCACATTATGTGGAGCATAATGCTTCAGAGAGCTTCTGCAAACAGCTCCAAACGAACTCGACCAAATTATACCATCTGACAGCTGTTCCGTGACCTGTGGGAAATGAGTTGGTGGTCTCAGTCCAGTTCCTAGTGGACAGGTGTCCAAAGCACAAAAACTACCCTCACAATTGGGCCTAATTAGCAACCTGGTTGTTGCAGCCGCAGTAAAACCTGGAGCCCACGTCTGCGCCGTGTTGTCGGAGCCCAGCTCGACATCGGGTGGCACACGCCGATGGCTTCGTGCGTGAGCGCTAGCATGGCGCCTGCACACAATGTCACTGCTTCAGGAGAAACAGAACCGGGGCCAGGCCTGGCTCTCTGCCTCTCGCCTGGCTCCCCCAAGCCGAGGATGTCGGAGACGGGGCACTGCTTTAATCCAGGGAATGAACATGTTTGTAACACTTAAGGATTATGAACTCGCACCTTTCACGAGAGCAGGAGACATCTATCACACCAAAACTCAGATTTCACTGGATTCCCAACCATTCCTCCAAATCTCTCCTTTCACCTCACTGCCTTCATTGAATCCTGCCTGCTTCTGAGGACACGGTGTCCCCTGTAGACCTCCCAAGCATGCCACTGTTGGTCTCCAAGGAGAACACAGCTCAGCACCAGGGATGGGGGAGGGTTCTCCTCATTCCTGAATGTCACTTCCAAAGCCATTCCTTCCCAAACCTTGCAAACTCCGACACCCAATTCTAGAAAATACTTGGGCTTCCCTGGTAGCTCAGATGGTAAAGGATCTGCCTGCGATGCAGGAGACCGAGGTTCAATCCCTGGGTTGGGAAGGTCCCCCAAAAGGGAAGTCACTCCAGTACTCTTGCCTGGAGAAACCCCATGGACAGAGGAGCCTGGCAGGCTAGAGTCCATGGGGTCACAAAGAGTTGGACACGACTGAGTGACTCTCAGTTTCACTTCTAGAAAATACAAAATTACAGGACAGAAATTAACTACCAGAATCTGGGAGAAGTGGTATAGCACTGACTACAAAAAACGCACAAAGAAATTTTTGAGAAAGATGGAAATAGTATACATATCTTAAATGTATTACACAACTGTGTATTTGTTAAAACTCATCAAACTATACATCTAAAGGGTGAATTTTACTGTAAACTCTTTAAATTCAATTTTTTTACAACTCATTAGTTTTACATTTCCATAATAAAAACCTGTTTACAATGAATGCCAGTATCACGCAAATGTCCTCAGCTTCTATTTGTAACAAACCATATACTTAGATTGCAAATGCAAGGATACAAGGCAAAACAAGGCACAGACTGGGAGCAAATGTATACAAAACACATTCTGATGAAAGACTTGTGCTAGAATATTATATATAAAGAATTTCACCACTTGAGTATGACAGACATATGTTTCTTACGCCATCCATGTTTCATAAGTATATACATATATGTATACGTGTATATGAAATCTTAAATGTTGCCCTAATGAAGTTTCATGGAGCAAAAAAAGTCTACCAGAAAGCTTTTGCTAAACTGAGATTTTAGTTTCAATATCCTCTTTCTACAAACAATAATTCATGATATCCCAAATAATTCCAAGCTTACCCCCAGTCCTTATTCAAGAGTTATTAAGAGAAAACCTTTCATTTTTATAAAATTCATTTGGATACCAAGTCATCTTGAGCTATACAGAAAAAGGAAAGGAAAGATATAGAGTTCATTAATTTGTAATCTGTCCCCAAATTTCCACACCTAGAATGACACCTTATATACAAGAGTTACTTGGTTACTTGCATTTTTCCTAAAAACATGAATTGTTTTGGGCATATAGAGGCAAGTCATAAAGTATATCTGAGAAACACTGTTATTAATATGCTCTGAAGAATTAAGCCTGATAAACATGTGCTTGTATCAAAAGGTGCCCACTTTCTTGAAGATATATGTGGTGTCTGTAATCTTATCTTAGTGCAAAATCATATAACTGTGTCAGTGTAAATAATATCATGCCCTTTCATAATCTTATGGAACTGTCTGCAAGATTACCAGGCCCATCACATATAGCTGTGTTGGTTGCATATTCAACAAAAGCACGCAGCCCAGGGGGTTAAGATGTGCTTTGAAATCCAGTCCTTACTCTGGTGCAAAACTTGTGTCATCGCTGATGGGAAGTGACACCTCTTTTCCTAATTATCCCCCTAAATAGGAACCTTTATATAATTTGTGAACTCAGAGAATATACTTTTTTTTTAACACAGAGAAAGATATCATGAATACTTGAAGAGGTCCTAAGGACCATTACCCTATCTTAAAAAAAAAATCTCAGAATAACCACTCATGCTAAGAATTAAATGCTCCAAGTTCTTCTCCATTCTTTCAATATACCATATATAGAATATCCCTGAAAAATATAGGTAGAAGGGAATATTAATTTTGCTTTTAAAAATGGCTGAATGTAAATCTTTAAATTGCCACATACATAATCTATATCATTCCAGTCATTAGTTAACAAACAAACAAAAATCCCTCTAATACATACAAAATTCAATTCTTATATAAGATTTTCCCATCTTCCCTAAGGATGGTCAATTTTTATTGCTCTCACTGCTGTGAAAGTCTGATCATCCTGTGTAAACAGAAGAAAAAAAAGGTCTGAAAAGTGTAACAAAAGAAGATCATATAGAGAATTCACAGCCAATTGTAATTGACAGTACATTTTGCTTGGGGATACCAGATAAAAATACTCCAAACATATGCCACAACTCTCATCCTGCCTTCAGCAACCATGACAATAACTTCTAAAATCTTTTCTTCCTGATGCATCTATAAACAATTAGCATCTCTTTGTTAAACACTAATTGCTCTTCTTACACAGCTGTGCCACTGTACAGCTCAAGAAGGAGGGCCCATGTTAAGACAGTTATTAATAAAATAATGCCATAACAAAATGAAAGGGCCTAGGGAGTTCAAGAAAAACTGGTCTCCCTAACATCCTTGGGAAACTCAAACCATAGACTACATCTTAAATGCTGAGTTTCTCTTTGATATAAATCCTTAAATATAAATATAAATCTTAAATATAAATCATTTTCTCTTAAATATAAATCCATATTGGGAGACACAAGAACATAGAGACTGACCTCCTACACTGTTTGTGGGAATATAAATTGGTGCAGCCACTATGGAAAACAGTATGGAGTTTCCCTAAAAACTAAAAATAGAGTTGCCGTGTGATTCAGCAATCCCATGCCTGGGCATATACCCAGACAAAACTGTAATTCAAAAAGATACATGCACCCCAATGCTCATCTGCAGCACTGTCTACCATAGCCAAGATATGGAAACAATCTAAATGTCTATCAACAGATGGCTGGATAAAGATGTGGTACATTTATATAATGGAATACTACTTAGCCATTAAAAAGAATAAAATAATGCCATTTGCAGCAACATGGATACAACTAGAGAGTATCATACTAAGTGCAGTAAGCCAAAAGAGAAAGACAAATACCATATCACTTATATGTGGGATCTAAAATACGACACAAATGAACTTACCTAAGAAACACCTGCAAAGAGCTCAGAAAAGTGCCTTGCACATAGTAAATGCTCATTATATATTAGAGAAAGAATATGTCACTGTTTTTTTATTTTGGGGGGCTACAAGGGCTTTCCCTAGTTGCAGCAAGCAGGGGTTACCCTCTAGTTGCAGTGCACGGGCTTGTCATTGTGGTGTCTCCTCTCGTTGCAGAGCATAGGCTCGAGTGGTGCAGGCTTCAGTAGCTGCAACCTGTGGGCTCTGAAGTTGTGGCTCGCGGGCTTAGTTGCCCCACGGCAGGTGGAATCTTCCCAGGACAGGGGTCAAACTTGTGTCCCCTGCTCTGGCAGGTGGATTTCTTAACCACTGGACCACCAGAGAAGTCCTGTTTGTTATTATTTACTGATGTATACCTTCCCTTGAGCAATTTGTTTGATTGGTTTTTTTGTTTGCTTTTCAAATTTTTTAACTCACACTTGCAATCTACCCACATCCTCAGTTAACTGGCGAGCTGAGGACCAATTTTAAAGTCCACGCAAACTACTCATTAGTATTTCAATATCACAATGGCTAAAGCAAAAGAAAAGAATTGGAGGAGGGGAATAGTCGCTAAGGGCTAGCAAAATTCATTGAAAATCGCAAGTCAGTTCTAAATCTTAAGAGTTTTTCACCCTTCAAAATGATAACAATACAGAATGACAACATTTCCATCCCTTTCTACTTGAGAAACTCCAAAAACTGTTTGTCCCAGAAATATCTTGACATGTTAGAAGTTTTCAGCTTCAGGAAATGAAATGTTCTACAGTAGAGGATTGAGATATCTGCAAATCTGACATGAAGTTACTTCACTTAGCATAGAGGAGAAATACTCTGAAAGAAGAAAAGCCTGAGATGAAGCCCCTGTATATGTTAACCTGCATTTAGTCTCTATCTGTATGACCCTCAGTCATAAAACTTATTTGGTAAATTCAGTAACCAACAATATAATTTCCACACTGAATCACTCAAGCTACCTCTGTGTGTTAGTATGTAAATCCCTGACCAATAGTGGATTAACAGGAAATATATTTAATTTTTCACAGAAAGACAGTAAGTAGGTAGCTTGTTCCTTCCTCACTTTCTGCCATCCTCAGCAGGTATATCCATCCTCAGGTTTGCTGCCTCATTGCCACAAGGCGGCTGCCTCCACTCCAAATCATGTACTCACATGTGCACTAAGTCGCTTCAGTCGTGTTCAACTCTCTGCAACCCTATGGACTGTAGCCTGCCAGGCTCCTCTGTCCATAGGATTCTCCAGGCAAAAATACTGGATTGGGTTGCCATTTCCTCCCCCAGGGGATCTTCCTGGACCAGGGATCAAACTTGCATCTCTTAGTCTCCTGCATTGGCAGGTAGGTTCTTTACCACTAGCGCCACCTGGCAAGTCCATAAAGTGGCATATTCCAAAAAAGGAGAGAGAAGGAGCTTCCCCTTTGGCATTGCTCTATCTTTTCAAGCAACACCCCTCACCTCAGCCCCACAGATTTGACCAGAACTGCATCGTATGGCCACTCTCAGATGCAAGGAAATGTGGGAAAGTAAATTCCTGGTATTTTCAGTCTTTTTCATGACAAGAGGAGAAGAAAACTGGCTGTTGAATAGGCAACAGCAGCATCTTCTACACGTACCCATAATGTTCTTTCCCTGATTTTCCTTCTAGAAAATTCTTAATCATCCTTGAGGGTTTATTCCTTAGTCATCTGACACTTCTACATACATGG